GGGTAAGCTTCTGTTTGTCAGAATGCTTCTGTGTATTTTTGGAGAATTCCTAAAAATTACAGATGTTTCTTGAAAATTCCTGGGGCATGGAGCATTGAGAGTGATACTCTGAGCTATTGGAGCTTATTTAGGTGCTCTCACAGATACCAGTATCATGTAATCATTTTTAGAGTGATTGATGACTTTATTTTAGTAAGAGACACATTTTTCTATTATAAGGAAGTTCCAGGTCTTCTTTCTCTGATTAAAAATCTTTCAGTTTCTTGCACTGTCCTTCCTTGTGGCAGCCACAGTGCCTGCATCAGCTCACTGTATTCCATGGAACATTCAAATGAAGACAGTCTTACCTTCGTTTGGATTTGCACATCCTTTACAAGGGTTGCCAGTGTTGTTGCCTCTTTCCTCATTCATGTGGTAGTGGAGGAGGCTCAAGAGGAACACTGCCAGGATGCTTGGAAGAGCAGGGACCCACTTCTAAGAGTCAGTGGAGACTAAACCAGCAGCACAAAGTAAGATTACAAGGACAGTATGAATAACATGAGACTAGAATCTGAAAGAATGAAAGGACTTTGAACAATGTCAGTTTTAAAATAATAAGGATAAAGTTTGAAATGGATTTTTGAAGCATTTGGGGATGAGAAGGCCATAGAGAGGACGGAGGTAGGAACTGGGAAAAGAAAGCAAGCAGGAAAACAAAGCTGGCATTTGGTGCAAAGAGAGTGATATGGTTTGTTTGGTCCATAGGGAAATCTACTGCAGCTCGGGCAGGTTTTTTTTGTCAAGTCCAAGGTCAGGGAAGTATATGGTCTGGATGTACCTCAGTTTGGTTTTAGCATTCTCTTATTGCAGGACTTGCAACTGTAAAGCTTTTCAACCTTAGTGTTGTGTTACCTTTTGATAGGTAATATGTGTCTATCTTTGGTCAATAGTGTTTTCAGTGTGTACATACATGGGAAACTGCTTACTTTGGAACAAGGCAGACTTAAAGGGGTGGTTTATTTTGTGCATGTGTGGGGCTGAGGGATTGCTCGAGCTGTTTACTTTGATCTGTCCTCTAAATGCTGCATTGTTCTTTCAGTAACTGCAGGTTTGTTGCACTGAGCATTTCCTGCATCATTTGCGAAATGCATATTAATATTTTTCTAGACCAATTTAGGTTTTTCCCTACCCTCCTTTTTTAAACATTTCAAATACTACACTCTTGTCAGATGTAAGAATGCTTAAATGGCATTCGTGATTACCTCTCAAGACACCAAATATATCTTGTTCTTACACCTTTCAATAATTGCAGCATTTTTCACCAGCTGTTCATTTTGGCTAGATTGACTTTGAGCTGAAAAAAACCCTGTAGAAGTACCATATGTACATTTGATAAGTGTTGCTGTTCTTGGGCTGTTTCAGATTTCTTTATTATTTGCTTCTGTTCTTTGATTTTGTGTCTGTAATTGGTGTATGTTGCTTTGTATTTTAAAATATCTCAAACTTTTGAAATATGTTTAATACTGTCATGTTCGGGGGGTTTGGTTTGGTTTTCAGGATTTAGTTGGGGTTTTTTGTCATTATGCTTTGTTATATTTAAAGATCACAAGAATGTCTTGGAACAACTAAGTCACAAGAGCTTTGATCTGCTGTTCAGCTTGTAATTTTGCTGGTAGTTGCCAGCAGTTTATGTTGCTGACAGCTTGTTGACAACCAGTGTGTGAACATCTCAAAATTATTTGAGTCAATGTTTTGCACAAAATGCTGTTTGCAATCGTGTTCCCTTGCAGCTACAGTGTCAGTAGGTTTCCTGGTTGTTATTTTAATGAAAATTTCTAAGACCAAAATTCTACTAGTCCAAAGGTGTTTGGTAAACCTGTGTGAAGATCTTGGAAAGGTAGATTGAATGTGTTGCAGGCTCTTACTACAAATGGAGTTTCTCCTCCCCACCCCAAAATATTTATAAGAAATCTTTTTCAAGAATTCAGAAAAAAAATTTTTTTTTTGTTTTTTTTTTTTTTTTTTTTTTTTGCCTTGTTTGGAAGTCTCATGTAATTCTGGTTTGTCCTCTTTGATAAAGAGGAGTATTAGCTTCAAGTGCTGTCAACTTCAGCCCCCATTTCCCTGCCTTTACACTGCTGTATGTTGGTGAAGGGTTTCTGTTGGAAACCAGCCCACAGTGAGTCTGTCTATTGGCATGAGCAGGTTTTTTGTTGCATCCCAAAGTCTCAGAACTGCAAGGTGAGTACCTTGGTGTGAATGAGCCAACTGGGCATGTGTGAGTGCTCTGGGCTCTTGGGCATGAGCACACAGCTGGGGATGTGCTGCTGTGTACAGCAGGGTTCAGGGGGGGCTGCTGGTCTTCGTTGTAGTTCATCTCCAAATCCATGTGCTAGTTCAGAATTTTTTCTTTAGGCTGTTAAATTTGAATCTTGTTTGTTTTAAAAGGTTGTTCTAGTTTTCATTATTTTTTGACATTTTGTTGGTGATTTTTAGCCCACAGAAGCTGTTCCTTCCACTTCTCCCATTGTCCCTGTGATCCCTGTCCCACCAGTCCCTGCTGAGACCACTGTCATCCCATCCACCATACCACAGGTTTTTATTCTTTTGTTTTGTTTTGTTTTGTTAAATTTGTTCTACTTTTATTTATTCCATTTCTTTCATTGCTTCATTGAAATTTGCCTTTTGGTGCTCTCACAAATTTGAGATGAACCATAGAATTTCATCCAGATTTTTGTTTGGTTTACGGCAGCTTTTAATCCATTAAAAATAGCTGTATTAGTAAACTGATTAGTAAGTGGTAAAAGAACGAAAGAAAAGAAAAACACCAAAAAGAATGGAAAGAAGCAATAGGATATTTTGTGTTCACATAATCATTTTAGAGCTATTTGATCCTTACTAAAGTGTTACTGCTTGATTTATTTCTAAAAAATTGTTGTCTCATCTATAAATATTTAGTGCATGTATTTCCTTGCTTGCACTTGCATGATGTCTCTCGTGTTCTCCAGCATCTATTGGTATTCCAGTTCTTGGGGCATTTAGAATACAAAAGGAATATTTTTACCTCTCTATTCCTAACATACTTGGGTCATAAAATGTGTTTCCCATCTGGACCTTCATCCTTTAGGTCCCATAATGTCAACACACACCCCAAAACAAAACCCAAATCCTGTCAAGACAAGTGAAGGCAGAAAACAGGAGCTAACATCAGTGTCTTGGATGTAATTTGGAATCTGTGCCCACAGCATGGCAAGCCATGGGATAATTTAGGATAGGCAGCAGTTACATTTTTGCTTATAGAATGGCATTTCTGCTTTTAGTCATTTTGTAACTGTACTGTGACTTTCAGTGTCTAAATCTGAAATGATGAGTGCACACCTGCTGAAAAGATGTGTCACTCACTGGAATTGTTTGGTGACCAATATTTATTAACTTCAAAAGGGAAATAAGCCATCCAGAATATGACTGCAACACTTTTGTAGTATATGCAATAGTATTTTTTTTCTTGAGTTCTGCTTTCAAGCTATTCAGCTACATTTGCAACAGGTGGGAATCCTTTTATCTTTGCTGCATTGTTAATTTTTGCATAATCTACAATTAGCCAAAGTTTTTACAGTTGGCTGTTTCGTAGTGCAATTTCCAGTGGACATGACAGACATGAATCTGTCAGGTGCACTTCTCCCACCAGGTCAGCAGAGATTTGGTTAGTTTCAGAAATGTTCCCTTCCTGTAGAGGGATTCTGTCCACATCAGGATTCAAGGTGCACAGACCACTGCAACCAGTGGACTTCTCTTTTCAGCCTTGATTCATGCAGATAACTGAGTCTCCAGTAGCATTTGCTTTCAGGGGTCTGCAAGTAGGCTAAACCCAGTTTAAAATAAAATAATTAGTGCTCATATATTTTTATTTCTTTGCTGCCATTGCCGTGGCAGCAGCTCTGTCTGGGGAGGATGCTGCAGTACAAGCAGAAGTGTAAAAATTGAGTGGCCTGTGCCTGTGTCTGCTCTATGCATACAAATGCCTGCAGGAGTTGGCTGTATAATTCTGCATCATTTGTTATTCTAAGCAGTTAGAAAATTCCATAGAGAATTATAATCAACTTCAGATTTGGCAGAAGCATTTTTGTGCAATAGATAACTTCTCTGTATTTTTTAAATCACTTTACCCTCTAGGCAAGCCCTTAGCCACATTTCAAATGGCTTTTAAATGTTTGAACAAGCCCTGGCACAAGAGCTTGGAAGTGCCAGGTGACTTGGAGAACTCTTGCACAACAGACTGAATGCCAGGCCTGTCTTTCAGACACATTTGATGTTTTGAGTTCATGTGGCCACTGCCTTAGTGGTGTCCCAGCAGTACCTTTGGAATGCCTGGCACAAAGCTTTTCTCATTCCTGTTGGAAAATGATGGTAAATTGCTGCTTCATTTTGGACAATTGGGATAAATGCAGGAGTGTTAGGAGCAATCATTTACTTTACAGAAGGGGGTTCACATTGGTTGGCTTGTTTGTGTCTCAAACATCCTGCCCACGTAGAAATCTTACCCGCTAATAGCAATTTGCTTATAGCTAGTTGTCTTGGTTTTTTAAGACATGAAGAGAAGAGCACTTGCCTGCCTCAAAAAGAAAAAAGAAGACTGATGGGAAACCACTTTTCACTGGCACTGCATTTTTTGAATATCCTTGGATATTACAGAATCCTAATGTTAAATAAAATAAATTCCAAAATGGAGTGACATGTAGCGAACTAATTAATCCTTTCTTTGTTTTCAGCAAAAGCATTAAAACTATAAATGTGGTTTAACCACATTTATGGTAACCCTAACAAAAAAATTAATGGTGATGCATGATTTAATTTATTGGGTTTTTTAGTACAGGATCTTATTTTAAAGTTACTGTTACTTTCATAGCACTTGCACTTGAATAAGAAGCAGAAATGGGAATGTAACTTAATGGCAGAAAATGGTTGGGAGGGATAGCATTGCTGTGACTGAGATTTTTGTTGTGGCACTAGTCACTGGTGCTTAATTTCTGTACTGCATGAAGTGTGCCCATGCTTCTCTGAGGGAGCTGCTGGGTGAGAAGGTGCTCCATGGCATTTTGACAGTCTTACATGTCAACCTTTTTGTTCCCTCTGACTTTTAATTGTCTGCTCTGTTAACTTGCAGATCCCACCTGATTTTAGTGCTTACTAAATGACACAGGTTTAATTTCTGACACAGCAACCTGATAGCAGATTGTTGCCTCCTGTGTGTTGATGGTAGATTATTCATCTCAGTCTTTGGAAAGGCACTTGGAGTCATCACTTCCTAGTTTTTGGGAGCTTTTTAAAACCATGCATTCTTCAGAAGTATGTTACTGTCATAGTAATGACACAAAAATGCAGATTATGAGTAGGTTAATGTAATTGTCACGTTTTTGTAGGTCTTAACCTTATTTTTGAATGAGTTTAATATTAGCTTCTTTTGCAGCCTATTATACAATCCCTAAATTTACTTCCACTCACACATGCATGCATAGAAGATTCAAAAGAATAGTGTGATAAACTAAAGATACTGTCTTTTTATACACATAAAAAATAAATCTCAGCTTCAATAAATCAATGAGATGAACTTGGTTTTGTGCCACTGAACTTAGTATATCAGCAGTATTCGGAGTCTGGATACATCTGCACACCAGGTGCTGCCTATTGGAAAGGCAGATAATGGATGCAAAAATAGGAAATCTTTTTATTTGGAAATATTTCAGAGAAATGCCCTTGGTTTGTATGGATTTTCTTTCAGTTGAAACCACATTTTTCACACAAAGAAATTCTCAGTAATATGAGAGACTAAATGTGTTAACTTATTCTACTGGTGCCTGCCTAGCAAGATTGCTAATACTGTTTCAGATTTCTGTAGCAACAATCTCTAATGATCTCTGGCTGCTTATGGCTTGCTAATTCATAACAGTTTTCTGACAGGAGCACATGTGGCTGTGTGTTAGATGAATGTCTGCTGCAGCTTTGCTTTTGCAAGTCACTTTTGTAGGCCCTTTCTTCCTTCAGTTGCATTTCTGCAGGTTTCTGTTCTGTACTTTGTGGAGGGTGGAGATGGGGAAGGGGAAGGGGATGGGAAGAAAGAGGAATCAAATCCACCAAAAATTGCTTTTAAGATACTGAGTGGTAAAGCAACCTCTGCATGTGGTACCACAAGTACTGGGGTAACTGACATCATGTCTATTGGTGGCACCACTCAGGTTTTCTTTTGAAAAACAACATAATGAATTACAGAATTTGGATATAAACTGTCATCTCTGTGATCTCAGATTTCTCTGAGAGTGTGGAAAGTGTCAGTGTTTCAGAAGGCCAATTTTGAGATTCTCAGGCTGAGGTTATGTTTCAACATAACTTTGAGAAAACAAATTAAATGCCGTAAAATGATCAGTAACATTGTGTTTTCTTACACTGTGTAACTTTTAAAAAAATTATTTTATTGAAGGCAAATCCCCCTCCAGTGCTGGTGAATACAGATTCGTTGGAGACCCCAACATATGTAAGTCTACACTTGCTTTCCATTTTAACTTTAGATCATGATTTATTCCTATAGCTCTGTAGATCTGTTGTTACTGTTCAGTAAAATCTGTTTTATCTCTCTGGTGGTGCTTGATTTTCTCAGCTGTCCTAATGGTTCTTGAAGTCCCTAAATAGCTGTTTCATGAAAAGGAAAAGGTTGTAGATTGCAGGTGGAAGTTTCTGTGTGAGTACCAATATGTGACAGTGCAAAGCACAGTTGTTTGAGGTTCCAGAGGTTCAATGTTCAGAGAACAATCTGTTTCTTCAATTGTGCAGGCAGATGCTTTAATATTTAATGTGCCATTTCCGTTGCACTTCTCATAAAAACATTGCTTCATGCAGTGGCTGTGCTGAAGGTTTTAGTGCTCTAAATGTTTACAAAAATGGGTTGGCTCTGTTTGAAACATTGAGGTAATAAGTGTGACTATATGGGGACTACACCTTTCATTTGTCAGGCATAATTACAGCTTTTGTGTAGAACATCCTTCACCCAGGGGAAGCCCTTGCAAATAAAGCTTGGCCTAGTGGATCTGAGATCCCTTTAGAACTTGGAAAAGGTAGATTAGGACAGTGATTTTTATCATTTGATGTATCCTTGCTTCTGTCTCTGCTCATGTTTGTTAGATAAACAAATTCAAAGTTAATTAAAAAAAGAAAGAGGGTGACTATAGAACTGAGCTAAAGCAGAAGATAAATACAATGGAGTTTTTTGTTTGTTCCTGCTTATCTAGATGATATTTTAACATTGGATTACAGAGTTTTGTACATGGAAATAAGAGACTGCTTAAATGTATTAGGATCAGCTTTGTTTTGCCTAATGGCAATGAATAGGGAAATGATTAATTGTCCTTGTTACTTATTTAATAAAAAGAAAGAAAAAAGCACTGCATACTAATCAGTCACCACAAACCATTTTTCGGGTACTGTAAAGCTGCATGACTGGTTCAGTTAGCACCTGTTGTCATTCCTGTAGATAATAGCTCAAGGACTGAGCTAACATTAAAACTTCTTGATCACTGTGGCTTCTTTTGTGTTGGTGTGGTGATGGATAGAGTTTCATGTGTTCAGAAGGTCAAGACCTCTTCCCTTTTTAATGGAGAAATATCATGTGTTAAACCCACGGTATCTTTTCCACTGAACAAACTACTAAGGACCTAATCATTTTTGCAATACTGTGCAAAGATGATGACAATCTGTTATGTCTGGAATGGATATGGGTTCCATTGTATTAAGGGAAGATGTAATTAGAGAGTGAGGGATAAATGAGCTTGATATTAGAGAGCCTGTAAAAGTTGTGGCATCACCAGCTTTTGGAGCTTTTAAATATGTTAAATAAACATTAGAGGAATCAAGTAGCTTGATCTTAATTTTGTTTGGGGTGAACTGAATTCCCTTTTTTAATTCCCTGCTAGAAAATTGTCAGATTTCAAAATGTTTTCTTATACATGCATATTTTGTATCTTTATGAAAGCTTAGATAGCCTGTTCAGAGCACAGAAGGCTGTTAAATACCTTATACATGCATATTTTGTATCTTTATAAAAGCTTAAATAGCGTGTTCAGAGCACAGAAGGCTGTCAAATATAGAGTATCTTAAGGACAGACAAGGTATTTTGTAAGATAATAGTCTAAATGTATTTCTTATCTTGTTAAGTATTTCATGCTAAAAGGCTGGAATAGGGAATTGCCTGTGGCTGCCTGGTGTGTGTGCTGCAATCAGTAGGTAACTGGAGGAAAGAATTTGAATTCCAAGATATCTTAGTCATTGGTAAAAATCATCTTACTCTTATGTATTAGATATGGTTTAGAATTTTATATTTAACTGAGTTAGCTTAGTTTTGGTATCTGTTGCTTCTGGTATTTGATTCTGTTCTAGTTCTGTAGGCATCACAGGTTGTGGGTATCCTTTCTAACTTGAGTATGACAAGGTTTCTTTCTAGGATATGGGTTTTTCCATCTAGCTTTGTAAAGTATTCTTCTAAACCTTTCTCCTTTTTTGGCTCTGTTTAAATTTGTTGAGTAGTATATATGCAGCATGATAAATAGTGATATAAACAGTTTCTAAATGTTGCTTTAGAAAGGTCTTAGCCCTTTCTTGAGAGAAACTGTAGAAAGCATCAATCGTTGATTTTTCTCTGCTCTGTGTGGAACAACAGTTAGAAAATGTCACTCTGTTGTTCTGTACAGTTTCTTCTCTGCCCCACATCCTTTCTTTTTTCTCAGTTCAAGTTTTGTAGGGCCTGAAGAACATGTGAGGATCTCAAGAGCATTTTTTTCTGTCTGGCAATCAGAAGCAGAGGACCTCTGCCCCACAGTCTCTGTGTAGAACAGTCTGCTCTCTGAAATCACAACTTTTAAACTCAGACAAAAAGAGTGTCTGATTCATGTATACAGAGTGCTGTGAAAATCACATGTCCCCTCTGAGCTCAGTGGTCACTGTGAATCAGTTGAGATTTGCTGGGAGTGAACTGTCAGCCAAGCAAACTGTGTCGTGCCAAGTGTAAAATTCTCTGTCTCACTTTTCTTTCTTTCTTTCTAGGTCAATGGCACAGATGCAGATTTTGAGTATGAAGAAATTACTCTTGAAAGGGTAACATGCTAAATATCTTTCTGTACACTGTTTGAAATGGGATTTCCAAAACCAGCAATCCAAACCATCCAGTTGCCAGAGCAGGAGTAGAAGTTTTTATTAGTATCCTTGACCAGTAAGAGTAAAATGGGAGAAGAATCTCCCTGAGACACACTGCATTTAATGTTTTTATCTAGACTTACAGAGAATAATAACACATCTCCTGTATTGCCATTTATGATAGGCTTTTACTTATACCATTAAGTGTCATATTGAGATTGCAAGTGGCACCTTGTCACATACATATCTTTGTTAGGTTTTCCATGTTGAGATCAATCTCAGTCCTTTTGAGCTGCACTGTTAACAAAAAGACAGATAAATTATTGTGTCTGATATCTGTGCAGTTCTGGTGGTTACAGAGAAGGTTAAGAGGTCTTGCAGTTGATAGTAAGGGCAGGCAACCTTTGAAGAGGAAAATGTCCATCTGATTCTCTGCATCCTATATATTAGAGGTGGGACATCAGTTTTTGAAGGGCTTCTTTGGGAAAAATAATTTGCCACTAATAATTTAATGATGAGCAAATATTTGCATGGATAGTCTCAAAAATCCTGCATGTTAGAAAGGGAAGATTTTATGTAGTGTATGAAGTTCAATGAGAAAGTCGTGGGATTGGAACTGTATCTCTTACAGTTATACAATGACTTCTGTTATATATGTACTAGACTGCTCAAACTGTCCTAATATTTTGTTATCAGTGAAAATTATGTAGATTTGGTCCTACAGTGAATCAAATAGACACACTTGAATCAAATAGACACACTTGAACGTGTTTTCCCCAAAAAAGAAACGTGTAAATATTTTTTCCTCTCTATCTTTAGGGAAATTCGGGACTTGGCTTTAGCATTGCAGGTGGTACAGACAACCCACACATTGGAGATGATGCAAGTATTTTCATTACAAAAATTATAGCCGGGGGTGCAGCTGCACAGGATGGAAGATTACGGTATGATGACTTTCTGTGTTAGGTTGCTAAGTGTTGTTATTTTATTTGAAACAGTGGATAGAACATTTTCTGTTACTTTTAATAGTGCTATCATGCTGCATTAAATGTTAAATAAGTATTTCTTAAGGAAGTATTATGTAAATAATGAACAATGTTTGAGTGGACCAATTCCTGTCCCCAAATGAATAAAATCTGCGGCTAAGTAAAATGAAGTGAACTTTCTCTATACTGTGGTAAAAATTGATTATGCCATGTGTTCTGTAGTCCTTAATTCAAGGAAAAGTTTAGACAGGTAGGCGAGGTAACTCTTGGTTATCTTTGTGTGGATTTTCTGATCTGTAAGATAGCTGAGCTTAATAACAACCCTGTTTTATGCTTGGTAATAATTCAGTGTCTTAATTTTTCAAAGATACACACCCACGTTGATTGTAGGGCAATCTTTTTTTCTCCTGTGCTGTCAAGAACTTGCCTCATCATTTCAGGTGCAAATGCCTGGGATATTACACGTTTGAGTCCTAATAAGCTTATTTCAAGGCTGCGTTTTAGCTCGTTGGCCATTGTCAGAGGTACATCTGGCAGAACGTGGTGACAGGTGGGTCAGGCATTGCACTTAGTGTAATGAGAGCTCAGTGTGACTACAGCAACATGTTAAATGGAGTGGAAGGCCAGCACTTAAACTGCTTGTGAAAAGCAGAAATGAAGATTGACTTGTTCCTGTCATGGCTTAAAACTGTTGTGTTCTCGTCGTGTGCTTCCTAGGCTCTGAATTTTTGTAATTTTTTCTTACAGCCCTAAACAAAAGGTACTTTCTACAGACGTGTTCAAAACTGTCTAAAAGAAGCACTTACAAGATGGTGCTATCTTTGGCTAGGAACTAATTATTCCCACTAAATGTTTTCTAGTGATCCTTTTAAGCACAAACAATCATAGGGCATTGTCTTGGATCAGTAGAAATTTGGACATAAATCTAGGTGGTAACTTGTATGTTAGTATATTATAGATAAAACCTTAGACTCCTGATGTGTGTGCTCTGGTAGCTGAACATGACTGTTGCTGTCCCTAGGGTTAACGACTGTATCCTGCGAGTAAACGAGGTGGATGTTCGTGATGTGACACACAGCAAAGCAGTGGAAGCATTGAAGGAAGCAGGATCAATTGTACGATTGTATGTCAAAAGAAGAAAACCAGTCACAGAAAAAATAGTGGAAATCAAACTTGTTAAAGGCCCCAAAGGTATGTTGGAAGTCTAAAGGTTCCCAAGAAGGATAGAGTTGAAACTGTTCTTGTAGAATGCATAGTTTTCTTTCTAATGAGAAAAATGTGTTTCTGGTAGTATTTAGTAATTTTTAAGTACATTGTAAACTGGAGTAAAATACTGCATTGAATTACCTCAAAGGGATTTTAGAGAGATTAAAAATAGTTTAGGGGAAGTATTTCTTTTTTTCTATATGGGTAATTGTTGGACACTGGTTCTAGAAATGTCAGTGGTGAAGCTGTAGCTCTGCTGTGTGAATCCTTCACAAGGCATGAAGTAAATGATACAGCTTTTGATTTTCATTGCATCTTTTCTAAAATGTTCTGGAAAATGATGAGTTCAGTTGAAAAGGCCTCCAGTATTACTTCAGCCAGAGCCTAGTGCTAAATGTATTTATGTGTGATGCAAGTAGCATTATTATTTATGTAATAATTTGAATCCAATGAATGCAAAAATGGTTTCTTGAGTAATGACTTTATCTTCACGCAGGTCTTGGTTTCAGTATTGCTGGTGGTGTAGGAAATCAGCATATACCTGGAGACAACAGCATTTATGTAACCAAAATCATTGAAGGTGGGGCAGCACATAAAGATGGCAAACTTCAGATTGGAGACAAACTTTTAGCTGTAAGTAAGCCCAGCATTTGTTTTAGTGATCATTCGCTCTTAGGCTCAGTAAGGGCTGATGCAGTTTCTGGGGGAAGGTGCCTGATGGTGGAGTGTTATTGCATAGAAGTGGGTAAAAATGTTGTTATTGCCAGGAAATCAGTGATAAAATTAATTCTGCTTCATTCAACACCATCTCATCAGGAAATCTGGAATCTCTTTCTCGGCCCAATGTTCCATGCAAATCCTGTATTAATCAGCATATTTATTTCTGGTGCCTGCTATTACTTTTCTGGGATCTGAGTGATGGAATTGTAAACAAACCTACAATGGGATTCTTTCACTTCTCAGAAAAGAAGAATGGAAAGGAACTCCATGTACTGGTGGGTGACCAGCCTTTAGCCAGGCTGTAGTGAAACTGCTGCTTATATTGCATTTCAGTATCTGTAATGCTTTTGAAAGGCTTGTTAATTGGGGTTTTTTTAAGCTTAAAATGCTTCCAAGTTTAGTTTTCTATGCACAAAGTGAAAATAACTTACAGCTTAAATTCCTCCCCCCCCAAACAGAGCCAGGAATTTCTGAACAAATTTCTGAACTGTTAACTTCAGGAGTGGTAGGAATGGAAATCTGTTAAAAAAATAAAAATCAATAAAAGGCTTTTAGGAAAGTTTTAGGAAACATTTAAAAAATAAAGATGGGAAAATATATTTAAGCAGTAGAGTTTTCCCCCATGACTAACAATAGGCAAGGCCCAATTTTTTTTACATGTTATATAAAGTTAAAGAATCAGAAAAGTGCCTGGTCCCTCAGGTTCAGTGCATTCAGTGCATCAAGCTTCATTTCCCGTGTTGCCTGGAATTATCTGCAGAAGTTAGTTCCCACTTCACATAGGAAGAGAGGCTCAGCATCACAATTTGCTAAGGTTGTATATGAGATAGTAATTGTTAAAGGATTTTTTTAATGAAAGTGCTAGTGTTTTGTCTTAATAGCAGCTTAAAAAAAATTGTTGCCTGTAGTTAAACTAGTTCTTGTTACTTGGCATGTAAATCAGTCACTTTGGGACCTTCTCCAGTTTTGACACCTACTTTTGACCTCTTGCAAGAACATGTTGACCCATTATAAGGTCTAGAACTTAGTTATGTCATGACAAAATGATGTTGGATTTATTCTTACTAAAAGAAACTTTCTTCTATGTAATGCTTGCAGCAGCACAGTGTCAGTGCTGTGGCTGTGCAGCTGATGGCATCTTGAGTGTCCTGTTTGTTCCATTACCTTTCCCAGGTCGTGTGAGCCTTCTTTACAATGGCACAGTCTATACAGTTTATTATAAGCTGTTAAAAGAATACTTGTCTTTCTTGTATTTCACAAAGCATCTCTCTTAATTTTATATAACCAGTTATGTGTGTGGCATATGAATCCTAGTAAAGACTCTCAATGCCAGAATGCTCAAACAGCTTTCAGTGAGTGTTCTGTGAAAAGGTACATTTTTGTGTTGAGAATTTGTTTTTCTCTGTAGGTGAACAGTGTTTGCTTAGAAGAAGTTACTCATGAAGAAGCAGTGACTGCCTTAAAAAACACATCTGACTTTGTTTATCTGAAAGTTGCAAAACCCACCAGCATGTTCATGAATGACAGTTATGCTCCTCCTGACATCACAAACTGTAAGTTCAGCTTATTTTGTGATTTAGCCATTTTTCCCTTTAAGACTTCAACACATCCCATTTTTAGTTTTTTAACTGTTTCAAGCCTTTAAAAATTATACAGAGTGAAAATCTGATACAAGAAAGTTGATTAATCAGGAAAATTACATGCTGAACAGAAAAACATCTTATAGCTTGTGTACTGAAAAGACAGCTACAGTGAGGGGTTCCAGGTGCATGACCTAGGCCTAGAGACTTGATGTTTGTGATCACTTGCTGAGGAGTACAAGGAAAACATGTGTCTCGTGCTCTTGGAGGCCATGGAGAGTAACAAACAATGCACTGTAGAGATGTTTGGTGTCCTGTAAACTGAGCAAAAGACAATAGTGTTTCAGCTAGAGGTTAGTGATGTTTTGACCTTCTGTTTTTCCTGTTTTCCTGCTTGTTCATGAGCTTGCACATAGTTGAATAAAGTGAACTGGGAGGGTGGGAGTTCTTGACCTCTGGTGCCTGCCTCCAAATCTGTTGAGAACTTACTTGAAATCTTATATCAGTTTTGATGTAATTGATAATAGGTTGATAATTCAAATGGAAAAACTGGTGGAGGCTATATTGTAAAGCAGTTTTAAGAATTTAATGTTGGCATAAGGGTATTACTGACAAGAGTATTTTCACTGAAAAGTTCAGGATTGAACTACAGTGTAAAGAAAAATTTGTGTTTAGTATACCATCCCTTCAAGAGGGGTATTACCATTTAGTGTTTGGAGAAAGGGATGAGAATGATGTAACTGTGTCTTCCCAAGACTGACTAGACTGACTTTTCTGGATGATCAGTTTTACTCATGTTGTCACATAAAATGGTTCTAGGGGAGAGTTATTTTAGGTATTTTTTTTCTTTCCTGCTGTTAGATAAATGTCAGTGATATGTAGCACTTATCTGTTTAGATACTACTTCATATGAATAAAAGGAACACTTTTGGGCTAAAAGATGTAATGGAAATTAGTATGTAAAGAAGAACAAACAAGTGCAGCACAACAGAGGACTGAAGCACCTTGTGAGCCCATCATGTATTGGCAATAGCTACAGTATCTTAAAATCTATTTGTAAGCTTATTGAATTAGTGTGGAGCTAATTAGGTTTTGTCTTCGCTGTCTTACTAGAGGGATGCTCTTGAAGGCTCCATCCTTAGATATAAAACTCATTTTCAGCCTTCACTTTTCTTCCTTGGTTCCCTACTCATATATGTGACTGGAGAGCAGCCATTTTCCCTTATGGTATCTGATTTGTCCAATAACCCTTCCCACTGTTTCCTTGGAAAGCAGACTTGTTTTTCGCTCTCCATCGTAACTGACCTCTTCATATGCTTCACCTTGAATTCAAATTTTCTGGAACAGAGGAAACCTGATTTGTACAAAGTGTTCCTGGTAGTGTTGCAGTAGTGCAGTTACACTGCTGTGGATGGGGATGTGCCAAACCTAGAAGTATCTCAGTTATTAGTACTGGGTCTTGACTCGATCGCTGGGATATTTGCTTTATGAGTCTTTTCTGGGGGCCAAGGCAAAACCTGAAGAAAATTTGAGGGGAAGAAGGTAGAGAAGGAGCTGATTCCTGATAATTTGCCCAATCCTAATAAATTAGTGACCTTGACAAGATGGCTGTGCAGTTGGCCCTCTTCTCATGCAGACCATTAATGTATCTCAAACGGTGGATGAGCTGGAGACTCGGTGCATTGAAGTTAATTGCATCATAACATAGAGCCACAAAAGAGTCAGTGGTATCTTCAAGGATACCTTCTCACCATGGGCATTGGCTCTTCAGGAAAGTTGTGTCCAGGGTTATCCCACATGATTGCCATGAGCATGTCCACTACCATCTTGCCTTGAATCCTTAATTCTTCAGTATACATGATTTAGTCTGACATCCTCTCTGTGGTGGCAAATGACCTGGCCACACATTTAGGTTCCTTTTGTCACATTACCATCTTCCCTCCTGAGCTTCTCTCCATTTGGCTGCTCTCCCTGTAAGTGTGATTTGAGAGAGGCAGTGGCATTGTGTGCAGCTCAGTATCCCATCCTTTGTGGGAAGTGGCGATTCTGTCCTTTTGTGAGAAGTGGAAAGCCAATCTCACTGACCTTGTCATGCCCTTCAAGCTCCAGCAGGTGCTTCTGGGCATCTTTCTCATCCTGCTCAAGCATAATGAAAAAAATCACACAGGTTTTCTCGGATTGCAGGTACCTTGTCTGTCTGTCTTTGGTCCTTCGGTGATCTTTGAGGTTTGTGGGCTAAAGTGCTGTCTGTCCTTTTGAGTACATTTTCTGAGTTTCATCTCATTTCATTTAGCTGCAGTTTTGACCTTCAGTTCTCTGTCTGGAGACACTCTGGTGTTTTTACTCTGTTTCTAGTAGACTTTTATCAACAGCTAACCAAAGAACTTTCTTCTGCAGAGCACTGGGTCCTTTGATGAAACTTCGGTCTGTTTCTTTTCCTTACAACAGGAAAGCCTTTTCTCCCCAAGGCTCCATATGCTTGTGTCTCTGTGTTGATCAAAATGCAGCTGGTTGTTACTGCAGCTGGTGTGGTGACTGAACCTACTGCTGGAACTTTGCATGCAAAGTAGACCTGAAGGTCTTGCCTGAGGTGTTTAATGGCTTAATTCAAGGAAATCAGTTTAGTCTTCTCCTCAGTCTTTCACTTACAAGAAACAACTGTGTATGGCTAATATGCTGGATGCTGTTTTTGCAATACAGGGCAGAACAAAAGCTTTTTCAGTACCCCCTCAGTATTTGCACATTTGCATTGGAAATTTCAAAGGGAGATGCCAATCTCCTCAAAGGCTGTTGCTTCATTACAGTGTGATAATTTTGCAACTAGAAAGTCTCTGCTTTCTGTAAAAAACTGCTCAGTGAGGTAGAACTCATGCCACAAAGTGGTGCCACAGTATTTAGCAGAGCAGTACAGGGCTTAGGAGCTTTAGATTAGAGACTCTGAAGAGCTTTGTTCAGAAGGCTAGTATTAAATAGGTATTTTCTAGAATCACATGGATTGTGAGTGGTGTTGAAACAGTGACCAGTCTTATTTCTTCACCTATCATCTGCAGCTGTTTTGAGGCATGTATTTGCAATTCTTCTTCCTATTTCTGTCCATTGGAATCTTTTTATCTAGGTTCTTAGGATTTCAGGCCTACCATAAAGGAGAGGTAAGACATGCACAGAGGCTACTTGTGGACATATCTATTACAAATGATGTTAAGGTAGAAGCTCCACTGCTTGAGTTTATATGCAGACTGCTCACTGCCAGAACCCCTTGGGACCTATTTTGTTTGTTTTATTGTATTTCTGTGGGGTATTTGCATACTCCTTTTATCTGAAACATCTAAAAGCACAGTGCACAGCACTTGGTATCTGTACAGTCTGCGGAACATGCAGTAGATTGTTCACTGTGCCAACTTGTGTAAAGGTGGTAGTTAATTCAGAAGTCCACAAAACATCAAATTCAGAATTTGGTTGTCTTTAAGACTTTCTCTCTGAAACTGGTCTTGTGAGTTACAGGGCTGCCTCGCTTGCCATGGTGATGGGTATTTAAAATGCAGAGCTAAGGATACTGAAGGAACTGTTTGAGAACCATGTTCACAAATTTCTTTGTCTAGGTTTTCTGCAAAATCTGTTTTCTTTTAGAATTCCTGTAGTAAGAGTCCCAGCCACGCAATAGTAATAGTATAGCCTTGTCAACTGGTCTGATGGCTCAAAAGAAGGGACAAAGTAAGTTAGCATCCATATGGATAATTAAATAATTTGATATTTGATATTTCTTTCGCATAAGTGTCTTTGAATCAAGGTACATTTGATCAAGAGGTTTCTGAGATGCTGATTTATGGCAGTATTTATTGGGAGGAGTACAGACATTGTGCCAACACTGTGCACCTGGGGCTGAAAATTGACCTCCGTCATTTGAGATTTATCAGAGTGAGTGATCGGCTTCCAGCTGCCCATGGGGGAAGTTCATGTTGAAAATCTTGTTGAAGAAGAGTTGGGGTTGTCTGAGACCAGAGATTCAGCAGGGAGTGAATGTAGAAAAAATAGCTGATGGCTGTGTGCTGTGGCTCTAGAGACTGGTTTGTGTATGGGTGATGAAAGCTTGGCCACAGCCCTTGAAGGTCTGGAATACTTAATTGCTATGCCCCTTTTCTATTGCTCCTGTGAGATTTTTTCTTTTAACCATTGACATGTGAATTGCAAGTTTAAACAGTCACTTCACAGTGGTCTGCATTTTTGGACTCAAGAAGAATGCAGTTATGAAAGATTATTCATTTTGAGCACATTGCCATTTGAGTGCTGTTCTCCAGTTTCTGAGGCTGAAATATGGGAACTACCAGTATAGAAAGCACAGAAATGTGACAAAAACCCGTCCTATGTTCATTTTATGCAGAGGAAGAACAGAAGTGTGGGTGGGGTGGTCCTGTGGACCATGCCATGCAGCTGGCTGGGAGCATTGGCAGCTCAGCTGATGTGTGTGATAACCACAGCGATTAGCCTGCTATAGTAGGTCATATGTCAGCAGGGAGTGTAAACTGCCACAGCAATCTATACATAAATGTTGGTCATTAAACAGTTCCTGGAACAAATGCCCAGTGATTTGTTTGTATAAATGCTTTTTAAGTTGCTCAGCTGAAATATTGCTAAGAAGGTGTAGAACTTGCTGTTTTTAACGCCAACATTCCTTGTGCAGTGTGTATAGTAGAATATCAGTCAGGAAAGTGGCTATGCTGTTTCTGAGAGAGAACTTGCTTCCTCTACAGACCCCCTCTGAAGACATTATTAATGATGCATTTTTGCCTCCTAGTCAATTGTAAAGTGTTTTTCCTTTGTGCATTGGGACAGTGTTTTCACCCTGCATTGAGAAATAAAATACTGCAAGGTAGAGAATAATCAGTTTCCTCACTAGACATGAGTGCCTTATAATTTCTTAAATGGTATATGTACAGGAAGAGAAGAATAGGTAATAACAGCAAATGGCAATAAAGTTTTAATTTTATTTCCCATTTGTGGTGGTGATTGGTGTCCTCAATTTACAGATAATAGGGAAATAGTAGGAAATCTTCCATTGTTTTTCTTTGTGTCTGGAACTGTGTTATGTGAAGGAGAGGGTGGATTTGGAAATGGAATTTCTTTGTAAGAGTCTGACTTTTGCTGTCAAAGCAAATTCTTTTAATGTGTGCAATTTTCTGTTCATCTGAAAGACAGTTCCTTTATCAGTTACATTAGTACTAATATTTACCTGGAAATAGAAGCTTAGACCTCATTTAGGATTCAGAAAGTGATGTCTTGCCATTTATTTCTCTCATTGTTCCTCATGAATATTCTTCAGTTATATTCTCCAGCTAAAACAGTTTTAGAAAGGTCCATGCATGGGGTTTTTTTGCAGGAACACCATAGAAAGCCTTTTTATGCCTTGTAGGTTTGCTTTCTTAGCACTGAGAATGCCAACCTGGAGAAAGGACCTGACTTCTCGAAGCAAGTGGCATATTTAAAACTTTATAAAGGATGTAGCCAGTGCTGCCACAGAACAGTCCACAGGTCTGAAATAATAAACTGTTTCAGTGCTTGATAGCTGAGTTCATTACAGGTGACAGGATAAAGAGTAGGATTATGTAGATGGTATGTGTATTTCTGAGCACAATGCAGTTAAAAGCTTTAGGAACCTGAAAAACAATCAAATACTAAGCACTGTAAGTGAATGAACATAGAATTTGTTATGAAAATATAATTACTTTCTATAAAATATGCATCATTTTAGCTGCCATTGACTTGTTAAAAGCAATTGTAAATTCATTTTCTGAAATGAGATAATTTAGTGCCTAACAGAATGTACAGAGCTGCTATACAACAGTTGTTCAGGTTGTTTTAATCAAAACCTGTTTCTCACTAATTGGAAAAGAGCTCAAAGTCTTGAATTCCATTTTTGTGCTTTAGCTTTAAAATTTTCTAACGAAATAGTGGTATTTATGTGCAGTTTTGCTTTCAACAAGAAGTATGTACAGTGACATGGATGTTGAGGAATACATGGAAATAATATTGTTGTATTAAAATACATATAAAATACATGCTGCCATATGGCTTGGTGATCATTGAAAATCTGTTGCTAAAACTGCAGTGTGACTAAAAAATCCCAAGTTTTGAAATTAACAGTTAGGTTTCCATCTCTCTTACCAGTGCACAGAAACTACATTCTGTGCCAGGACAGACAGAAAGAAGTAGTAGGATCTGTGGAATCCTTGCAGGCAGCAGAAGGATGAAGGAGCAATGTATGTGTGTTACAGTTCTCCTAAAAAATGGGTTTAGGAATTAGGAATCTTGGACAACTCGTGATTGTTACGGAATTCTCAAATGTGAATGCTTTTGTTCATCATTTGGTTTTAGCAAAAGCAGCATTCTCTTTGCTGTAGACCTCATGAAGCCAATGTGAGGGAGCTTCCTTCTGTTTGTTGTAGAAAGGTACCCAGATACCTCTTACATCTGATTCTGAATTTTGCTGGAACCACTTGTGAACTCTGTGTTGCACTTTCCAAATTTCTGCTGTCTCATGCAGCTAACTCGGGCCTGCTGTGTGCATAGCACAACTACTTTGTCAGCCAGTGCTTTTAAACTGCCAAAACTGATAGCAGTAGATTTTAATGCTTGCTGAAATGTTTTTAGTGTTGACCTGATGTGTATGCCATGTATGAAATTTGCACACACAGGTTAACTAGGATAATACAGAATTGATGCAGCGCAGACTCTGTGGTTTGAGAGCTGGATGTGTAACAAATTTATCATGTATAAATGTTCTTGGTAAGTTTGTATATGATCCAAATGTTCTGATATTGGTTTAAAAAGAAAAAAAAAAAGTGTATATGATCCAAATGTTCTGATATTGATTTAAAAAGGAAAACAAAAAAAAAGAGAATATACAGATCACTTCAGCAATGTGTCATGCCCAATCTGTTAAAAAGCTTTGGGTTTGGTGAAAGTCCTCAGAGGTCAGGCACCACATCAGTTACAGCAAGTGAGTAAGCAAAGAGATTCTGACAACTTTAATGATATTAAATCTCTGCAGTGTCCCCAGCCTCTATGTTTAAGCCTCAAAATTTGAAGCAGCTACACCAGGCAAGAGATTCTGTTGAAGAATATGCCTTGTAGTAACAGATAGTGGGTGTGACTGTGCAGGGTGAAAGGACACTTAAATGTCCCTAACATGCACCTTGTTAATTACTTATTGGAACAATTCTCCTGGCGTTGTAGAATGTTTTCCATCAATTGAAATCATTAAGATGCTGAATTTTTTCTAGTATGTATGTTGTGGTTCAGCTAGAACATTCTGTGCACTTCATGCACAGGATTCATGGCCTGTTGTGTAGGAGCATCCACTAAATCCTTTTATTACACCTGTCTAGTTTTAATCAATGAACCTGTAAATAAGGCAACTGTCCATGGCTGCACAGCTGAGATGTTTTGCACTAGCTTGTTAATTCCTGTCACTAAATTGATGCCTCTTACCTTGAAGAGCTGGAGGTAGAAGAACCCTACCTTTGTTTGCTGATGTGTGCTGATGTCTGGGCACATTGCATGGCTACCAGCACCTGTGCTCTTAAAGGTGGTTTTGTTCAGTGTCTAAGAAATGTAGCATCTCTCCCTGTTCAGGCCTGTCAGTCAGAATGGCCTGAAGGATTCTGGAGATGCTAGGATGCTGCACATCAAAGCATTGAAAAGAAGGAGGTAGGCAGCTTGACAGTTTGAAAGAAGTGTAACGTTAAAATCTTGCATTTTTCACTGATGGTCTGACATAGTGATTTTAAAAAGCTGAAGTTCATAATTTACTTTGGTCAGGTTAAAGACAGCTTTAAAACAGATAAATCTCCAGACTGTCTTCAGGGGCTTCAACTATCCACGGTAAATGTTTCTAAAAAAGGTTCTTTGAGACACAGTCAAACTGAAAAAAATGCTTACTGTCTTTGTGAGGAGACTGGGGAATGTGTAGATTTAACACAGTATTTTAGAACTCTGACATTTATGTTTCATTTGATCTGCTGTAGTTTGTTTTCAGAAGAGATCACTCCTTCATTTCAGTTCCTCCAGCAATTTTTCCATGTTGCCCTGAGGTTGTTTTCTTTTTCCCTCTCTTTGAAGCTTATTCTCAGCCAGTGGATAACCATATCACTCCATCTGCCTACCTGGGACAGTCCATGCCCCCAGCGTCACCAGGGCGATACTCACCAGTTCCCAAGGGAATGCTTGGAGATGATGAGATAACCAGGTAAGGAATAACCACTTTCCTGTCAAATTAGTTAACCAGGGAAGCTCTAAGATGAGTCCTGGGACAGTATTAATATTGGAAAGCCCTGTCAATGCTGCATGAGTTGACAGAGATTTTTAGGATGGTAGCACAAGCAGACCAGAGATTATTTCTTATTTTAAAGCCAGCAACGTTTGGGTCCTCCCTCCCCCCGCAGGCAAGGGTTTGTTTTGATGGATTCTAAATCCAGAAAGACTAGAGAGCTCTTAATCCTTTCCCATTAACAGAGAGTTCATTCCTTCACTGATTCAGTAGATTGCATTAATCTCTTGTTCGCCATTGCTGATAAAGGGAAGCTCTTGTAATTTTGTTGCCCTTCTGTTCTGCAAATATAGGGAAGTTGTTCTTTATTTTCAGTATGTCCTTGCTGAATTCTGTGCCACACCATCATCTGACACAGTTTCTGAGGGAGGGTCCACCCAGGAATGGTGGGTGGCATAAGAAGTTGGAGAATAGATTTTAGTGTAGTGGAAGGTAGGGTATGTCATTTTAGTTATTTTTAACGTAGGGTTAGGTAGACATAAAAGCCAAACTGATTCTGTCCTGCTGATAGCATTATGGTTTTATTGCTTTCATTTTAAATTACAGTAAAAGTCTGGTTTTAGATCTCTTCTGAAACACAGGGGCTGTTCAGAGAAGGCTTTAGGTGATTTTCTTTAAATTGCCTTCTCATCTTCTGCTCTCTCAATCCCAAACCAAACTGTATGAATTTTGAGTGTTATTTTAAAAGATACTGCATTTTATGTTCTCTGAATTTTGTTCATGTATTGGTGTGATCCAATATAGAGAGATTTTTCACAATGTCATTTATTTGTAACAGAACAGTACTCTGAAAAAAATGAATATACTAGTCGATGGGGGTGAAATTTTAGAATTTGATGCTAAGCTGATTCAATAGCTAGTGCAAAAGTGGAGTGATTTTTTAAAGAGCAGGCTGAATGATATTTTGTTTTGGAAAAAAATGCAGCTTATTATCTCGTAAATTAATAATTAATGCCTCCAAATACTTAAGAATGTCCATTAATTGTTCTTTAGTGCTCTCTAGTGATTTCTCAAATGCAGTGCACAGTTGCTCTGCTTTATTACAAATGTCTGTTTCTGTAAACATTTATGCTTTTCTTACACTGAATCCTGTAGAGATTAGTAGATTTTTGGAAGGAATCTCTCTGCATTAGAAGTTGACTAGCCTTACATTGATCAGCATTTCTTCTTTTCTCTCCTTATCTTAAGTCAGGAGGTCCTATAAAAAGAGTGCAGCAACTTAAGTGTTTGAGAATGTCACAAATTCTGATCATTTTTAAAGAGAACTAATGCATAATTCTTGAATTGTTCTTTGCTATATTTATTGCTTGACAAACTGGAGTGGAAATCAAACATTAAGACATATTTTTCATTAATGGTGTTTTCAATAGAAGTTATAATTTAAGTTTCAGGAAGGGAAGATGGTATTTTGTTGCTGTTACCATTAGATAGAATATGTCTGTGAGCTGTATTCACACTCTTGAACAATATGGAAAAGTGTTAAGTAATGGCATGTAGTGCTGGATAGGATTGTAGCATAATAGGAATTTAGCATACATAGTTCTGGATTGTTCAGTTCATCTAACAACAGGGAGGGGATTTTGTCATGCTTTTGTAATTGTTTATTTTACTTACATCTAGTGACCACAATTTCATATTCCTTTCTTTCACTCAGGGAGCCTAGAAAGGTTGTCCTACATCGAGGATCAACAGGTCTTGGTTTCAACATTGTTGGAGGAGAAGATGGAGAAGGAATTTTCATCTCGTTCATCCTTGCAGGAGGGCCAGCTGACCTGAGTGGAGAGCTTAGGAAAGGAGATCGCATCATTTCTGTAGGATTCCTTGCTTCTTTTAGTTAAACAGCAACAACATTTTTCCCTCCCTGAAAATTAGTGACAGTTAATGATATGCAAAGAATATTAACGAAGCTAAAATGGAGACAGTGGAACAGATGCCAATATACCTCCAAAATTTCTTTGGGGACTTTAGTCTGACTCAGTTTATCATCTATAACCTGATGAAAATAGCACTTTCCTATTTCGGAGATATTCAGAAATAAGCCTTCTCATGAGATGGAGACACTTGACAGTAGTGCCTAAAACTGCTTTACTTCCTGGAGTAACTGCTAAACTTCCTGCTAGGCTGAAATCCATCCATCTGATACCTGTCTGTGGGGTTTTATCTATATTAGTATTGAAGATCATAAAGATTTTGTGTGTTTCTTTGTGGAATTTCTTAGTTTTTGGAGAATAATTTTTTCTGGACAATTATATTGTAGTTTGGAAGCTATTTAAGAGGAATCTTTTCCTCTTAACTGAAGTTACTAGGATGCTGATATGAAAGCACATCTTTAGTTTTAACTATCAAAAATGCTTTTGGACTAAAATGTGACACACAGATTTCTGTTCAGTTCTTTCCTGATGCTTTTTTAAAACCTGCTGCATTGCAAACAGTGCAAGACCCATAGAGGGTGTTGTCTATCGCTGCGTGAGGTGACATAAGGATATATAGGCACACTGTGGCTAAGGTCCCTAAACCATCACAGAAAGTAACATTCTCTGTCTCCTTAAAAAGAAAGAAAAAAGTCTTAAACAGGAAGAAAATTGACCTAGTGAATAGAAACTCATGAAGTGATACTGTTGCAGTTTCAGTAATTCTTAAGAAGGTATATGTGAGAGAGGATTTATTGACTTTTGATTTTGACTTCCCTGGTAGCAGGGGAGACTCGCATGGCATGGAAATGAGTTTGTGTCCTGCTAATTTTTTTCTGTGGTGGTAAATATAAATATTAATTTTGATAAAGTGCTGTTTTGTATTACTTGTAGGTAAATGGAGTAGATCTAAAAGCAGCAACCCATGAACAAGCAGCAGCAGCCCTGAAGAATGCTGGCCAAGCAGTGACTATTGTAGCTCAGTACCGTCCAGAAGGTAAGGCTTGCTTTATACATTCAGGTTCCCTTGTACAATTTGAAACTCAGAGAAAGTTAATCTACAGTGTCCTCCAACTGGAGGGAAAACAAATAATGCAGTAGGTGTTGTCACATACATGTTAGCATAATTGCAGTTGATGCAATCCCTAAGTGCTGGTGCCATGGCTTTGATGCATTCCTTGCTTTCATCATTTTAATTTCTTCAGTAAATGCTACCACCAACATGAAAATGAATGCAGTAAATCCAGACCTTAGTAGAAATACCACATTGTTCTTTTGTATTTCCAGTTGTCTTCATCCTTTAATATGGAGCTTTTATATGCCTTAGTGGTAGGAGGATGGAAGAATAATTACTACTTTGTAGTGTTGATTCAGATGACCTAAAGAGGCTATCAGGTTTTCTTCCTCTATTTCATACTGAGCTAGTATTTCTGTTTATCCAGGAATTTCTTCTGGTCTAGATTAGGCTGCAGCTGATGCTGATTAACCATCCTTGTGTGTTCTGCAGAAGCCAAGGAATATTACATCATCAATACACATATTTGTCCTCTCGTATTTCTGCAGCACATTTCAAGTGGCTTTGTCTATTTGAGACTTTAAAAATTCAGTAGTCTAAAATTAGATGCATACCTTGAGTCTGTAAACTCGTGTTATTGGTTATATATATATAAGACATTTTTGATATCTTATGAACTGTGATGATCAGCAGCTTTCTCCAGTTTTGCTAAATTGGATGGCCCATCACTGAATCCTCCTTGCAGTGACTTGTCTGCTTAAGACTTCTTTCAACAGTACTGTCAAGGTGTAAGTGTAGGTGTTCATCAGCTCTGAATAGGTCTGCTGCTTTCATCTGTAAGGTACCCAACAGCAGCACACTTCTATTCATTCTTTTTCTTCTCTTTTGTCATGTCTCTTCTATCCTGACCTGCCCAAGTGTTTGAAACATTAGCTTTCACGTTCCCCTCCACCCACATCAACATCATGTGTCTCCCTTGACTCAGGAACCTTGTCAATAATAAAGCCAACTGATTGGTTTGTGTCTGCTTCATGGTCAAATCCCTGCAGCCAGCCCATGTTGTCAATACCTGTATTGTCTCAGGAGGGTCTGCATCCTGGTCATATGCTCAGTCTGTAGATTGCTGTGTTCCAGGATTCATTATCTAAGAGTGCTCACTCTGAGGCTTACTTCTAGAAAACAGTAAGGTCAGCACTGGTTCTGGAATATTTGTTCTGGCTTGGTGTCAGAATTGTGAAATCTTTCTGTTGATAGACATTTGGCCTGTCCTCTGGCTCTTCAGTGTTCTAACAGGTGGGTCAAACTGTTGTACATTCTTGCTCCTTGTGTAGAGATCCCTCACCTTAGTGAGAAATAGAACTTATGTTTTTATTTATCCCTGAGTTGGTCTTTTGAGCACCTGGACACGTTTTGGTTTTTTTTTGTTCAAATAGGGCATTTATGATCACTATTTCTTCTGCCAGGAAGGTGTGTTGAGATGTGGCTCCTAGGAGCAGAACAGATGGATGTAAGGTGCAAGGAATGTATGCAGACTTCATACAAAAGCAGCATTTTTTCAGTCCTCTCTGTCTAGGATTCAGACTTTAAGAAGGAAAGAATCTCTTGGTATTCTGGAAGTCAGAAGTCTTTTCCTTTTGGAAGTAAAGAGTTAAGCATTTTGGATGGTTCCTGCTCTTTCTGCATTAGAAATAAGAGCTTTCGTCATTACCACCAGTCCAAGTAGATAACATTTTCTTGCAGTGTGTATTGAGGTAATCCTCTACTGCTGAGATCTTGAGTCATTGCACACAGATTTGCCCAGAGCAGCATATGCTGCCTTAGAAATTTCTCAATGACTGTGACTTGTAAATTTCAAACCTAGAGCTCTACTCATTTCCTTCATGGTTCCTGAAGCATACGGAGCAAGAGTGTATGCAGTTGAGCTGTATTGAGAATCAATTCTCAAAGATTTATATGGCCCATCTGAGAGGATGCATGTGGGAGATGTTATTCGAATTATCCAAGATTATGGGTAGACATCTGACACATTAATGGAAGAAAGGATTCTGGTTTTTTTCCCCAAGGTGCTTGGCCTGCTTGACTGTCTGTCTTTCTGAAATACTGCCTAAAGTCTCCATTTGGAATAAGATGTTGGAAGCATTAGGGCTTACCCTCCCCTAATGAAGTAAGCCATGAAGGAAAAGCATAACTAGGAAATTGAGAATGACGTGAATTGACACGTGGGCAACTTGTCTCAGAGAGCTCTAGTTAGGCTAATGTCTGACATCTCTGTCTCATTCCTTGTATAAAGAGTTTGGATGGAAGTCCAGCTGTCAGCTTCTTCAGGTCTGGTGTGGGAGGGAATTTGAATCACATACTCATTTTTTCATATCTTAGAAATTAGGAACAAAAGTGTTCCCTTAAAGATCAATCTTTGTTTATTATCATACAGAAGTATCTGTTTGAGGTTTGACTTTCCAGATAGAAAATACCATCCCTGTCATGGAGTGTACTTGGTACAAGTGCATATGTTCTGTAGACATGGTCATCTTTTCCCCTCACTTGATTTATTGAAGTTGGTAAACTTTTTAAATATATACGTGCATGTGTGTATAATTATGTCTACTTTTTGTTCATGCCATTCAGAAAAAGGTTGACAAGTATTAAAATGAAAAGTTCATAGACTCAGTGTTCATCATTGGTGTTTCTTAAATGTCTTCATAAAGATGAGGAGCATCTGTTCTAACTGCTTGTATTGCATATGTATTTTATTTATATTTATGAATCCAGCAGGATTTTGTAAAAGATGCTGACAGCTAGGACAGATCAAGGAGATTCTAGACATCCATCAGGGTTCATTATAACCAAGTAAAGAGATTCAGTATGATGGGAGCATTTGGAAGGCACTTGGGACCAGCTCACTTTACTCCCTGTAATTGTATATGACAGTTTGTATGTTCATAGCTGTGGTGGGGAATGCTAATTTATGTTTTTACATTCTACCACGTTTCCTATTTCTTATCAGAAATTTCCCATTTGTGTTTCTGCCCAGATTTTTGGGAAAAGAGGATCTTTGCAAGCAGTTATCTCATAGGAAGGCCTGAGTTAGGCTGTAGAAAAATTAATCACTGGAAAACTATCATGCAAAGGGTTGACTTTTCTGTATCTGTCTTCAAATCCATGATTGATCAAACTCTAGTTACTGGACTTGGGGTAGGCTAATATGGCTGAATGAAACTGGTTTTGTTTATCTGGGCTCAAATTATGTAACTGCTGACTTTTTCCCCCTTAAATCTCCAAAACATTCCTAGGTTATAGGATTGGGTGAAAACAGATGTAAATCTCATTCCTAAAAACATCCTTCTGGGCATTTATTTAGTTTCCAGCAGTGCTCAGTAAATTTGAGAGATGCCTCAGAAAATTTTTCTGCTCTTCTGAATCAAATTTCCAGAACTTACCAGCACTTTTTGGGATACCTATAAGCCAAACAGGGAATGTGAATGTGTTCTCCTGTTTACAGGAGTGGCTCGTGTATCAGTCACCACTTCTGTAGCACCACAACTGTGCACAATTACTGTGCTTCTCCTCATAGATGCCAGGCTTTACCTTGCAGCTTACCCAGGAGCTCCTGTTGTGAACTTGTCACCTAATGGGTTGTGCTGGGACATTCTTCTGTGGTACATAAATGCACGTGGGTGTGGGTACAGAGTCTCCCTAGCTGCAGAGATTTGAACCTGCTGGGCTGGATGCTGCAGAGCAGGGATCCATGGTAGGAGAAGAGCAGGAGCTTCTGAAATGGGAATTATCCTGTAGCAGTGTGGTTGGGAAGTCAGGATGTTATTCTCATTTTCCTCTTTATTTAGAAGCTCTTCCTTATTCCTCCACTTGTACTACACAAATTCCTATCTTCTTTCAAGACACCATTCATTAAAAAGGATTTTGCTTTACCATGGATTCCACTGGAAATACAGTGCTGTGGCCTGCAGCAGTTTCAAAGCAAATGATGTTGCTCTGGTACACAACAGCATTTCATTTGTAGCATTCCAATCCATTTCGTTTTCCTATTGCTCCCTGGCTCTGCAGACACCACTACCACACTGCTAGATCTCTTTGGGTTTTCTGCATAGGTAGGAGGGCAAGGAAAAATTGTCATGTTAGTGTGGAAGAATGAGAAGGAACAATAGACAATTTGAATATATGTGTATCTCCTGAGAGTGGGGATTCAGAGGTGGTCAGAATTATGATCATGCTCCATAGCAGGGATACAGGAACATGACAGTCTCAGGCTTGAAGGGAATGTAGTGAGGAGAGGAGCAGCAAGGGGGAAGTATAAGACTGTGCAGCTCTTGGAGGGCTCTCTCTTATTACATCCACTCAAACCTTCTTATGTGTTTTGAGGATGGCATAATAATAAAGTTAACTCAAAATTCAGAATTTCAGATTTTGCCATTCCAGAAAGGTATGAGGTGCCAGGAGGCTGCCATAACTGTATCATAGCTTCAGTGCATTTAAATGTTTAAAAGTAAGAAAATTGCCAAAGAATTACATTCAAAATGTGAAAATATAGTTGATTGAAATTTGATAGAATAAAATTTAGTGGATTAAACCTTTCTTCATAGTTACATTTTACTGAATCAGCACTGGCCTGTTTTAAGTACATATGTAATGTTAACTGCAATTAACGTTCAAGGTGTCACATATGCATTAACTGTGACACCTTCTCTTGGAGGGTCTGGAAAAAGCAAACAGGCAAAGCCAGTTGGCATCAGCAGTCATTCATGGGTCACCTCAGCTTCCCCAAAACACAGCAAAATTCAGATAAGGCTGTCATGAGAGAAAAGAGTGTCAACCCTTTCTGTTTCCCAAGGATTCACCTGACTCACCAAAAATAAAATTTTACGTAATATAGCAACCCTTTGTCCTGTGAATTATCAGTTGCCTGTTACTTAGAGTTTACAATCTTCATTGTCTTCTCTTTGCAATTCAGCTGATCAAGTCCATCT